TCCGCTGCTGCTGCAGTTGGGCGATCCACCAGCAGCGTTTCTGGCATCTGTGCTGCTCTCCCCGACGCCCTGACCTTCATTTGAACTCACATTGTTTCCCTCCCCACCCTGAGCACCACCTACTCGTGGGCGCTTCGAGGTCGACCCTCCTGACAGCCACGACTGCATGCCTCGCGCCTGCTGTGCGATGTCTCTTGGAGCTGCTGTCTTTTCTGATTGTGTCCTCGCGCCTGGTCTTTTGGACCCGGGTCCGGGCCTCGACCCTTCGTTGCGGCCCATGGCGGTGGGTGCTGCTCCCACGGGGGTGGGTGGTATGCGCGTGGGTTCGCGTGGCGCGTAGGTGAGCTTGCGGTAGCATTGCTGCAGTACAGCAGTGCAGTCGGCACAAAAAGCGCGGGTCAACCACCTCGTGCTACCCTAACCCGCCAATCACGTGCTGTCGTTTTTAAGTCGTTTTTAAGAATCAGTCCGGAAGGACCTGCTTTGGACCAATGGAATTGCGTCGTTTTTAAGAAATCATCCCTACCCATGGTCCCTGTTCCGATATGTTGGGCGATATATTTGAGGGGGCTCCGTGAATCAAAAAGGGGGCATATGTTACAACAGTTACACGTTTGGACCCCCTATGAGGCCTCGCTGTTGCGGCGGCTGTTGCTTTGGACCACAGAAGAGCAGACTGAACACCGAACACTAGCCGAACACCCCATGAGTACCCCACCAGCAGCGGACCAGGATGGAGGGTCCTCCACGCCGGTGGTTGCAGTAGAACCAGTTTCAGACACAGAGACAGCAGAGCGTTCGAAGAAAAACGAGCGGGCTGCGAAGGTGGAGAGGGTCAAGATGTAGCCGAAGCTGCCCAAGCCCCCGAATGCCTCACACCCGGTGTGGAAGCATTTCAGGGTGTATCGGAACCCATGCCATTCGGGCATCGCGATCTGTCAGTTGTGCGTGGCAAACGGCGACTTTCACTGTGCAGACCAAGTTCAAGGGAGGGTCGCCTACCAATCTCCTGGCCCATCTGGACACCTCCAAGGTTGGACACAGGGACGCACACACCGCGATCAAGCACGCGAAGGCAAAAGGCTCCGGCTCCGCTGCAGCACCAACAGGACAAGCAGCGATCACCAACTTCCTCCCGAAGGAGGAGGGGGGGGCGATCTGGCACGACGAGTTGGTTCGTCTCATCATAACTGACTAATCATCTGTCATTTATTGTCGATGGATTCCAAGTTTTAGCGTTTTTCAGTAGTTTTCAGGATATCACCCACCAAAAAATGGCATGGTCGAAGTGCCCCAAAATCACCCAAAAAATATGCTCTAGTGAAGCCAAATCGCGTAAAAAAACGCCTCCGGCGGGGCGCCTCCAGCGGGGCCCCTCACCAGCCGGGGGGCCGAGGGGGGGCTCGCGAAGCGAGCCCCCTAACCACGGCTCGCTTCGCTCGCCGATACATATTATATCGTTCGGCTGCGCCGATACACAACCCTATCAATAGGGTGTTTGCGGACTGGTCTCAGGTCTTGGTCTTTGAAGTCGGAAGCAAGTCCAAAAACAAGACCGGAATTGTGTTTCAAAACTGCTTGCGAAGACTCGAGTGTGATTTTTTCGGCCTTGAGCACGCGGAAAATTCTAAGAAAGTTGCGTTCAATACGACGGAGCCCCTTTGCCGGCGGCGGCAGACAGATGGTTGAGCCGACTCGGAACAACACTAAACATATTTATACATGTGATCAAAAACGATTTGTAAATTTAAAAAAACGGCGGGAAACACCTGCTGTCCGTGAAATTCAAAAATCTGTAGATTTGAAAAACGAGTGATGTAGGACTGATGATGTACTGCTGTAGATTTTGTTCCACCTTCCATGAATTTTACAATGTTATTCCTAATATGTCTAATAAACCAGCAAGCTGTCAATAGACACTGCGCCGTGTCCCCTGTGAAGGTTACAATTTACAATACACGGCACAACGGAGGGTTTCTCCCCGATATTTTGCCGTTGACCCAGTAGAGAACTACAGGGGATGTATTGTAAAATGTAAGTTACCTATACAGATGTTTTTGTACTTAGCACCAGCTGGCATCACTGGTATAAATCATCAGTGCATAGACTTAAAAAGACTCGAAATAAGTCCAGTACCCAGCCGGTTTCCCTCCACTCACTGAAAAGACTCCACCACATCCCGTTCGACTGTGGGCATATCTCGAATGGGTAGTCTTTCTGTGTGTGTTTTTATTGTTCCTTAATATTTATTTCCGACCTTCCGCCTCCACCACAACAAGGCTACCACGACTATAGCACCCTCACCCCCAGTTCATGGAGAATGCTGATGGAGCAACGTACTCGCTCATGAACAACAGGCGGTTGGCCCAGTTCAGTTGCCGGGAGTGCATGGGAAGCGTAGCGCCGCAAACAGCTGAGGCATGCATGTGTGTACCCCTTCAGCACGCGAACAAGTTGTGATACACATCGCAGTCATCAGTCGTCGACGGAGTCGATCGTTCCCCGTCAAACGAATCACCGCAGCACGGTCCACAGGACCCACGCGCTGCAGCTCCTCACGTTCCCACGCCGCTTGAAGCATCCCTAACTCCGTCACCTCCGCCTCCACCTGTGCCACACTCCTGAGATCTATGCCGCCCGCCTCACCGCCTCACCCTCCTCACGCGGGCTTGATGTGTCACTTTTTTTAGCATGCATGCATGTAGAGCGGCACGCTTCGGTTCACGCATGCATATATGTACATGTAAGATAACGCAAAAGTTGCACCATGTCGGCAGCATGCAATGCGCATCGGGTCTGCGGTGTGCAGTGACTCTGTCTGACTGTCTGGCTGCTGTATGTAGTTTGTTCGCCATGGTGTCGCCTATGACGGCCGAGTTGTGTGTGTTTCGGCAGCTCCACGGGATGGTGCGGCGTCTGTCGGGAGGACGTCGGGAGTATCTCGGGGTGTGTAGGCCAATGAAAAATTGTTATTTCAAAGACAAAACTGAGCAAGACAAAATCGGAGCTTTTCTCGGGTCTTTGGGGGCAATTGGCGAAAGCAAAAGACCAGATTCCTAAAGATCAATCGGACTTCGGCGCTCGGGGGGATAAAAAAGACCAAGACAAGACCAGAATCAGATGTTCGCAAACACCGTAATAACGACGCGGGGCATTTTAATTTTAAATCCGCCGCACAGGCGGCGACGGCCTCTGTTATAGTGCGTTAACAGTAGCACCTGTGACCTTGAACCCGCCCTTACAACAAGCTAATCTACGTTGCGGTTGGTGCCTTTCCCAGCATCCCTCTCCGCGGTTCTGGGTGGTGGTGTGTTGATTGTATCGATGTAGCGCCAACCGTTTCGACTTTTAATCAGTATTCTATGTACCACCGAATTTTTTTTCTGCTCGTGCAACGAGTGCCGTGGGCCGAGGCCTCCGACATGATTGTAATCTCTTGTTGCTCGCTCCGTATTTTCCGAAATAGGAAATGGTTCGTTGGGAGGCTCTCCACTAGGGAACACCATTCCACGTCCACCTCATTACGGTTAAAGAAGTTTGGTGTAACTAGTCAAGGGAGTGAAGAAAAGGGGTTTGTGACGCTGGCCCTCTTTCTTACTGACAAAGAGAGAAGAGAGAAAACAACCTTCCCGCCCAAGGACGTTGTGCATTCTACTGCTGCTATCAGTAGAGGACACCATCGTGCGTGCTGGCAAGCTCAGGTTTGCTACTGGAGTTGGAATATCAAAGGTCGCAGCAGCCTCTGAAAACAGTCCGAAATCTGCACCGGAACCACGCTGCATCCCACATTTTGCACATGTCACAGCCGTGCTCACCGCCACGGACCGTAAACCCCTGAACGGTGTCAGCAGTAGCTATTAGTGGCATCAGTTCCTGCTGTAAACCCGGAGTTGAGGAGTTTTGGGTCAGTGGAGGCGAGCACGGCTGTGACAAATGTAATGTTGGATCCCTGATTTCGGACTGTTTTCAAAGGCTGCTGCGACCTTCGATATTGCTCCAGTAGCATACCTGAACGTGCCAGCACGCACGACGCCTCTTCATGATGTCCTCTATTGATGACGATAGAATTCATCACCTAACCGGTCGCCCCGGTGGTCTAGCCGTAACCTCGAAACCGCGAAGTCGTGAGTTCGAATCCCCATGGGGTGAAACAATTCACAACTTTTGTGAGTGAAAACGAAAAAGAAAGCTGAACAAGCTCTCGTGAATACCAAAGTTCGAGGTTAGCACCGTCGACGAGGGAAAGGGACTGGACTGTCAGCTGGACCCTTCTCGCGATAAAACTCAACTCAGCACGCACCGCAGGAGGAAGGTGGGGTACGAAAATGAAAATAAAAAGAAGAAAAAAAGCCCCGGTGTTTACCCCCTCCTGCGTTCCCCTGGACGGTTGTGCCCGTAGTTGTACCACGCAGTAATACACTGAAGAGGGTAGCCTACATGAAGAATGTAGTACACGTCTCACCACGAAAAGTGGGGGGACTGTCGCCATAGTAAATAGGACGAAAACACGCACACACCTAACCCTCAAAACTGACCTTATTTGAGCGCCTTCCGGGTTGGCTGAGAACGGACTGTGGCTCGTGTGACACGTTTCGACTACTATGGGCAACAACCAAGGTCTTGCCGAGGTGCTTGGAAATCGCCGTTTCGGTGAAGAGTGTGCAGATGTGCATCAACCCGCCGCACCCCACGAAAGGGTTTCTGCACAAGTGATCATCAGAGCCCCCCCCCCCCCCCCCCC